CCGACCCCGCGGCCCCGCCCGCAGGCGCAACTCGATGCTGATGGTGAACCTGCTGGCCGTGGCGGGCGGCGGCCTGATGGGCTTCTGCCGGCTGGCCGAGTCGGTGGAGATGCTGATCCTCGGCCGCCTGGTGATCGGCGTCTTCTGCGGGCTGTGCACCGGCTTCGTGCCCATGTACATCGGCGAGGTGTCGCCCACGGCGCTGCGCGGCGCCTTCGGCACGCTCAACCAGCTGGGCATCGTGGTGGGCATCCTGGTGGCGCAGGTGAGCGCGGGCGGGGGGGGGGGGGGGGCCCCGCCTCCCACCGCACACGCCGTCACACGCCATCACGCACAAACGCGCCCTCCATTTCTGATCGGCTTGGGGTGCCCGTCCTGCGGCCCCGCCCTGGGTCGCTCCAGGCCGGCGCTCCACCGCCTGAGCCCCGGGATCTGGGCCCCGGAGGGCGGGTGGCCGGCGGGGCCGCGGTGCTCTCCAGGCCTGTGTGTGGCTTCCAGATCCTGGGCCTGGACATCCTGCTGGGCTCGGACGACCTGTGGCCGGTGCTTCTGGGCTTCACCATCATCCCGGCCGTGCTGCAGAGCATCGCGCTGCCCTTCTGCCCCGAGAGCCCGCGGTTCCTGGTCATTAACAAGATGCGGGAAGAGCAGGCCAAGGACAGTGAGTGCCCCCCCCCCCCCGCAGCACGCTGAGCTGCCGGTACTGTTTTGGGTTACGGTCGGCCGTGGGGCCCGGGCGCCGTCCCTCAGCTCTGCAGCTCCAGGCGGGCGCTCTGCCACCTGAGCCACAGCGCCACTCCCGGTTTTCTGGGGGTTCATGGGAGATCAGAGTGTCAGGGCCTTCCCTGCCCGGGCTGGCCTCGAACCCCGATCCTCAGCGCTCAGCCTCCCGAGCCGCTGGGATGGCAGGCGGGGCCCCGGCGCCCGGCCGGCGTGGCTTTTCTGCTGGAGGTTGGTGCTGAGGCCCCGGGTTCGAGTCCGCAGCACGCAGACACAGGGAGAGCCGGGAGCGGCGCCGTGGCCAGAGCCGCCGGGGGGCGGGAGAAG